GGGGCGGGGAGGAAATCCCAATCCCATTATTAATTTCAAATGCAAAGAAATCAAAGAAAATAAATATCCCGTCTCTGAACTGAGCCATTTCTTTCACAGCGCAGGCACAGAGCGGGACGGTCTGCCCGAGCTGCGCTGCTGAAGTCAAGGCAGCTTGTGGTCTATAAGATTAATAGGAAATCTGCTCTGGATTGGGAGTGATTCCCTCTTTTATTGGAATGAACCCCAAAGAGTAATGGCTGTAGGGCAGGAAGAGGAAGGTAAATTGCAGTAATAATGTGTTTGTTTGTGCAGACATGCTTTTGATCATAGAAAAATACACCATCTGTTTCTAAATTACTTGTTGTATTGATTTAACAGTTAGTAATGTGGGGTTTTTTTTCTTTTTTTTCTTTTGCAAATCCATTTTGCAAGGTCTCCTGGAAATCTGACAGTTATGTGCAATAAAAAGTAGGGGCTTGTTCATCATAAAAGATTACTGCTGCCAGGCATGGGGCTCTGCGCGGGAGGGACGGGCTGTACCTGCGTGGGCTCCTCGAGCCCCCTCCTCTCCAGCACCCTGTCCCGCAAAGAGCTGAGCAGCTGAGTGCTTATGTGCCCCATAAGAACTATTTCTTTATGCCAAATAAGCTCTTCCTGAGCTTTCTCCCTGCTCAAACCGCATGCACCCCACTGCCCTTGTTGCTTCGCACTTTTATCGCTTTCCTTCCATTCTTTGCAGCTCATGGCCTGCTTCTCCCCCTGCACCCCAAAGGCTGCAACAGCATCAGGGTGCCTGGACCTGCGAGCGGTTCCACACACGGCAAACCACGGCCTCCCCCAAACGCCTCCCCCAAGACCCACACCTTCGCAGGGGCAGCAAGGGCAACCTCCCCCCAGCCCCAGTAAGCGTGCCCGCCCTCGTCTGCCAAGGACCAGCTCATCTTCATTAGGCAAATCATTAATTTTCCAGTTGAGATTTGCTCTAACCAGAGCAGAACCCCTGCAGCTCGCAGCCACCTCACCTACAAGTGCCACCTCTGCTTAATAAGCACCCAAGGAGCAGCACTTTGCACACACAGCCGATCCGGGATAACCGGGATTCCCTCAATTGAGGCTCCAAAGGGAACGCCTGCTGCAGCCTGGCCCGCGATGCTGCCGATGCACCCCACCGCTCTGATCAGTGCTGCACCGGGCACGACTCCATACAGTGCAACGGCATGCATGATTTATCATTAAAAATTATATTATTTTGCTGCTAATTAGTTGCTATTATTCAGCCTGCAGCCTGAGCATTAGCCTTCTCCCTGGCTAACGGCTTTCCTGGGAGACTCTGGGCTCCCCCACGTACAGGGTCAGGACAAAAGGTGGTTAACCCAGAATTTGTCACTGTGCAGCGATGTGAACATGGCCCTTTCCTGTCCCGGTGTCCCTGTGGGGGTGCAGACACTGTGCTGAGAGCTCTGCCGCTGCTGCCGACCCGGGGCGCTGGGCTAGCGCATCTCACAGCCCGGTAGAAACACGTTGGCAACTCACACCTCTCATTAAACCGTGCCAACGGCTGCCGGCACCAGCGCAGCACGTTCCCCGAGGAGACAGGGGGACCATTGGGTGCCTGACCACTCTCGCCAAGCTCCCGGAGACCCCTCAAGGGCCAACATCCACACACAGCCTTGGTGCTTCGCATTGGGCATCTGGGAGGACAGGCTGCACCTCCGGAGCATGGAGAGCCGTCAGCTCTGGGGAGGTTTCCTCAGGGAACTTGGCCATTTCTGGGCATCCTCTGTGGCTCACCCGCAGCAGCCGCCGCTGCAGCACGGCCCCCCGCTTTTTGGGAGAGAAAAGGCTTTTCGATGCCGAGCCCCACGCTGACAGGGATTCACCTGGGGTAACAGTGGAGGAGATTAATCTGGGAAGCACTCAGTAAATATTGGCTGTGCTGTGCACGTGCCGGGAGCCCACAGACACCATAACCACGCCACGGGGGCTGCCTTCGCTGCCTGACTTTTCCAGCAAGGCTGGCACATGAAGGGAATCTTCAAACCCTCTGCTTTGAACTGCCCAGCCAGGCAGTTACTTTTACTGGAAAAAGAAAAATATAAAAACCAAAACACACAACTTTTTTGAGTTTGGAAACAATGCTCACCCTCCGCTGAGCATCCCAAAGCATGAAGCAAAGGTTATTCAAACCCACCTGGTGTTGCCAAAGCTGGCGCAGGCATCAGCGTGTCCCTCCCTGCTGCGTCCAGCGCAGTGTCAGGAGCCTTAAAAGACTTTTTGTCCCCATCTGAACCCCTCCCCGAGTCCCCAGCACACCCAGACCAACACCACCGGCTCACAGCAACGTCCCACAGCCTCCAAGCAAACCCTTTCCCCCCCGGCAGAAAACATCCCAAGGCACAGCCCAGGTTATCACCCACACACCAATTTTTTACTTCTGCAAGCGAAACCAGGAGACACATCTTGGCTCCTGCTGGTTGCGATCTGCAATGTTTATTTGACCCTCCCCCAAAAAAGGCATTTTCATGCAGAATCTTTTGGTTCATAAAAGAAGTTGTTTACCAGCAGCCACCTGACAACCTTCCCCCCAAAACTGAGAAATAAAGTGACCCAGGAGTTAGCAAAATAAAACGAACCGTCCAACTCCGACAAAGAAAAGTGGTTCCTATCATTCAGTATAATATGGAAAAATTTGGCAAATAGAGCTGATCCACAGTTCCCATCTCTCAAGCACTACGCAGCTGGCTCCAGTCTCCAGCCCTCCAGTTGTCTGTCTGGGGGACAGACACACATCCTTGTGCTGCAGGACCTGGGGACTCTCCGGGGGGTCCAAGCCAGGCAGGCGAGAGCTGTCGCGTCAGCATTTTTAACTGGGCAATATAAATATAAAACATCGATACAAACAGGTTCTTTGTACAGAAAATATCATCTCACAAGGCACTGGGGTGACGACCGTGCAGCCGCTCGCGGCGGGCTCTGACCGGGCTTCTCCAGCCGCCGCTGAGCATCAGAGTGGGAGGAAGGAGGGGAAGAAGGGACCGGAGAAGTCCCGGTGCTGCCATCCAAGAGGGATTTCACCGCACCGCTGCCCCCAAACACCCCGGGAGTTCTTCTTCCCAGCCGGATGGTGCTTTTCCTTGGCGGTGGTGGTGTGACCCTGCGGGGGCTCCGGTCTGCTTGGGATGGCTTGGGGCTGGGGCTGGCCTGGAGGGAGGTGCATAGATCGGATGGGGGCTGGGACTGCTCTGCCCAGCACTCCGCTCCCTCTTCACGCCAGTAGCCCCAGCCGGGTCACCTTGGCCGAGAGGAAGGAGTGGATGATGAAGACGATGGTTTTGGGGCAGGAGTGAAGGTCCAGTTGCTGCAAGAAAGGAATGTTTGCAATGGGGAGGGCTGTTCCTGGAGCAGCCAGCTCTCTGCTTGTGGTGGGGAGGGCAGAGACCACCCAGAGCCCCCCAAACCCCACCACAGCCTTACGGGGGCCCTGGGAAGGGCTGTGCACCATGGAGGCTGCATCCAGCCAGGGGTGAGTGGATAAGCCCTGCCTCACCCCCACGTGCCAGGCAGGATGGATGATGTGCACAGGGTGGATGCTGTGCACAGGGTGGGTGCTCTGCTCCCCCTCTCCCCCCTGGGACCGGTGGGAGCGTGGGTGGGGGGTGGCAAGGGTAAAGCCAACTCACAATCTCTCCCTCCGGGCCTCCAAAGTCCAGGTAGAGCATCTTGGTGCCGTCGTCAGAGGACATCTGCAGCTTCTCGAAGGGCTGCTGGAGCAGGATGGTCTTGCTGAGCCCAGGCTCGGTGGTGGAGATGGTGAAGCCCTTGTCGATGTGGATGGACAGGGTGCAATCCTGCCCCTTCCACGTGCAAGCTGGGGACGGGGACAGGGGTGAGATGGAGGCCTCCCGCCCCGCAGCCCGGGCCCTCCCCAGCTCCCCGCTGACCTGTCGAGACCTCCTGGACCAGCTCGGCGGCGCCGTGGGTGCCGTCCACCAGCAAGCGGGTCCACAGCGCCAGGTCACGGGGGCTCTCCAGGCTGAAGAGGTGGGTCTGCACGCCCAGCCGGGTGCCGGTGCGCAGCGCGAACGACAGCTCCGCCTCGTACAGCGCCGAGCCCTTGGCCGGCCCCGAGTGCACCAGCCTGCGGCACCGCACCGC